CCGAAATTGTGTAGGTGCTAAAAGGCCTAAAAATCTGTGCAGTTGTAATATAAGATGTCTGTGTAATATAGAATAAGAGATCTCTGTGTGAAAGGAGGCTGAGTCTGTGCTGGAGCTATTTTTAGACGGTGTGTGTGTGAATGCAAATGAGGAGCGGTGACGCGCATGGAGATTATTGCTTTTGTTTTAGAGTGTTATTGAGCTTTATAATTATTGTTTGCAAATATTGCTAAATGCCTGTAACTAAGATGCTGGTTTTGCTCATTACGAGAGTATAAATAGAGTTTGAATGGATTGCTGTGAATGTGTGATCTATAGTGTAGAGTTTTGATATAAATATATTGAGCGCATTGTATATGCTTAAGACTAACATATTACGTTCAGTAGTAACCTCTCTTCAGCAATAAATGCTGGGATGTGGGGTTTTTTTTTTATTTGTTGTGTGTGCTGTGAGAATTATTAGAGGTTTAAATTTTTTTTGACTTGCTCTTTCTGATTATGAAAGGCATGTCTAAAAGACTCTTAGGAAAGTGTATTTTGAGTTATATTCCTCAACTTCTGTCATAGTTTAAGTGTGTGAATGCTGTGAGAAGCAGGTTTTGAGTGATTGGGTGTGATTTGTACAAAAATAATAAGTAAGAAAAGCACTAGGAAAGTTGATAGTAGAGTGAGTGAAAAAGTGGAAGTTTGAGAGAGAAGGCAGTGTGTGTGAGACGATTTCTGATGTCTGAAAGAGCTCTGTGGAGCACGCTGAAGACTGATGTGAATGCTGACAAATGCAAAGAATTTAGTATAGTTAAAAGTGTGTGCGTGAAATAAGGGTGCATTGTTTTTAGATCAAGAATTAGTAGAACTAAAGAGTTTGATTAGGCTGTAAAATGGGAAAGAGGAACAGAAAATATAGCTGCATGTGTGTGACAGGAAATGGTGTGTGTGACAGGAACTGCATGCCCATAAAGGGAACTGACTGTGACAAGTGAGCACCCAGAGAGAGAAACAGACGAGTTAAACTCTAGGAAGAATAAGCAAATGGAGGTTTTAAGAAAAGAAATGAAAAGGATATTAATTGTATGCTTTAGCGTGTAAAAGAGGTGGACTTCTCTCAACCTGGAACCTTGAGTACGGCGGCAAAACCATAGATTAACAGAATTGGGAGGAAAACAGGCCAGGTTTTGGCTTTAAATTTTACAGCTTGACCTCTCACTTTGTCCCCATCCTGGGAAGAAGCTCAAAGGACAGTTAATCTCCTGATGAAGACCGACAGAACACCGTGGACTTGAAGAACTAACAGCAGGCAAAAGACAGTGCAACTGAACCAATTAATACTGACGACGACTGACGATACCAGCAGCAGCATGTAAGAAAGCACGTGATGCAACATGTACTCTGAATTACAGGCTGGGCCGTTGAACAGTGGGCTAAAGAACTGTGGGAAAGCACTGGACACTGATTTTCAGATTTGCCATGCTTGGAGCAATCTTGAAAGAGACGACTGAAAG